TTTGAGTTTAATAAAAACTGTAGATAAAAAAAAATTTGATATTTTATAAAAATTTTTATGTGGTCTAATACTTTTGGATAGGGAGTGTACTAACTACATATTGACTTTAATTTGAGTGAACGAACGATAGAATACCTTGTGTAATAAGTGACTAGTATATGAAAATCCTTCATTTCATTTCACACTAAAAATAGATTAAGATCATTCTTTATAAAAAAAGACTATTTTATTTATAATCATATAGTGTTTGACAAAAAGAAAAAAAAACTACTAATAAATGCTATATAAAATATGCGTAAAAGAAAATTTTAATTAAGACTTGAATTTGTAACTTTAATAATGAACAATAACTTCTAAATAACAAATAATAAGACTAATGATAATTAAATCATTGAATAATTAATAAAAATTTTTTAATTATTTCTTTGATTTAAATAATAAATGATAAAAAATAAATATTTGAACTCATTTAAACCCTTGATTTTTACTATTTAAATAAATAAATAAATATATAAATATATATTAATAAAAATATAATCCGCTTCTTTAAGCACAACAAAAAACAAAAATAAATAAATAAATATATCAATATGAATTTTTACTGTTATTACATCATATATATAATATATACTATATAGATATACCATTTGAAAATGTAATCAACCTATTCTCACTTAACTTTAATAATCTAACAATCTAATTATAACAATTACAACAAATTACCAATGAATCACTTATAGGTACAAATTCTACTACCCATATTCTAACTCACAAAACTATATAGAAACTGAATTAAACATTTTAATATATATATAATAAAATTAAAACTTCTATATTAAAAGAATATCCTGACATCTCTTACATTTATTGTGAAAGACTCTTATATAAAAATAAAGCTACGTAAATACATTATGATTAATCTTAAACATACCTTATTGAACAGATAAATTAAATTAACGTATTTACTCAATATAGAATATTAAAATGTCAGATTTCTAAGATACCTTTGTGCTCATCTTACGTAAAACTATGCATCAGATTTCAATTTCCTATATTAACAAAAGTATCTGATGAAATAAATGCAATACCTTCATAACGTAGAAGTTTCTGTTACTAGTTTACCTATATTACTCTCTTGGATGAAGCTCAAATCTAATCTGTATACAGAATATCATAGTATTGTAAGAACAATGGGTAACTTGATTAATTTCAGAATATTGTCACTATACTCTGACATAATAGATGTATACCTATAACCCTCTAATCCTAAACATACTCTAAATAAACAATTTTTAAGGATGCCTAAAGATGAGTTCTAATTGATTAAGTTCACACAATCCTTACTTATATAATTACCCTAACATACTAAACCAAAGGTCAACATTAAGGATGGCAGACTCATTTCCAACTGCTATACATATTCCTGATAGTAATACTATACCACTGGTTAATCTACGTGACATAATAGTACTGACCACGAATCTACCCAGCAAAGTATACTATGAAGATTTTCATTACTCACAACTAATGGCTGGATTCATCCGTGATAATAATGATCATTTATTGCCTATTTCTATTTACGATCTGAATCTTGAACTGCTCTTATTTTCTCACTTATTTTCAGATGGTAAAGGCCACTTCACAATGTAAGGGAATGAATACAATCAAATGAAAACAGAACAGAAACTCTGGAAAAATACACCAAGCATATGTTACTATTCAATGATCCAAGATTTATACTTGACCATTACTGGTTATCATATATTTACCTTCAATTAAAAAAGTTCTGATGAACTCACCTTATACGATATATCTCTCAACTTAGATGACCAAATTTTCTCTTCTGGTCAAGTATACGTCACTTTCAGCCAATATTTCAGTTGGAAACGTGTCCAAATAGTGACTCTTGATAGATCTGCATTTATTACTAACCAAGAAGTAATCACAGAATACACTTGTCTTGAAGGTATAGCTGAAAATCCATAAAACTTTTCAACCATATATCCCACAAACTCCATAATACTTTTCATAAAAATAACTTTAAAACTTAACAACACAAAACTTAAAACTTCTATTAAACTTTATTAAAAATTAAAACGAATAAAAAATTTTAAAACTATAAAAAAACCAAATCACATACAACATTCACCCAACAATACGTATTCTATACATCATTAAAAATTTTAGCATACTTGATCACTACGTAATTGTGAGCGTGATAGTGGTGGTCACAAGATCATAACCCGTGATCGCAACCCTAGTTTGTAAAACATGATATTAACTATATATAGTATATACTATTGTGAGCCCTTCTTTGGTAGAATTTACTCAACAACAATACGTGGTTTTGGATTCTTTTTCAAAAAGGAAATATTTTTTTTTCAAATTTTTCTAACACGCATAAAATTAAATCATTTGTCCATCCAATATAAAAAAAAAAAAAAATAATTCTAAACGATCATTTGTTAATCGTGACATTAGATGTTTTATAAAATTTGAGAATAATGACATTCAGAAAAATTAGAATTTTAGAAAAATGTTCAGTATATTGGAATTTAAGATATCTAAAAAAAAAAAAAGCATGTCTGCGCCTAAACAAAAACCAATATATATAATAGTTATAATAATAAATATTTGAAAAGTAAAAAAGTCTATTATATTTAGCCGTTGGCAAAAAATATAATCAGCATGATCCTAATAGAATGACCAATAAACAGTAACACAACTTCCTCCGCATTATACTATAAAAAAAATATGGTATTTGTACTATTTTATTCTTTCACTAAATCAATATTTTTTTAAAATCGGATTATGTCATCGTAACAATCATATTTATTGTTTGATTGTAGTCATGTGTGGTAGCACTAATTTTTTCATAGATCATTATCAACATCAGCGCGCCGACTTTTCTTTTTTAAGTATTGGCATATGAAAACGACTATCTTCCTTTTTAATGACGATTACATGAGAATCTTCAGCCCATTGATTGTTTCAATCAGTATATATAAGATTTGTCGTTAAAATTTTTGAACTTTTGAGAACTTTCAAAAAATAATAAAAATAAAAATAAAAAATAAAAATAATAAAGTTTACCTGGGAGTGGTTCGTGACTTTTGTCGATGGAAGGTGATGGGACGAGATATATTGATTTTGCATTCAACTTTTATAAGCGCCCGACAAACGTTAATTACGACCAACGCTGCCAGCATCGGTTTGACCAAATATTTAGGATAACCAAATAACCGATGATCAATATCTTTACCTCCACAAGGGCCTCCATCGAACTAAAGCAATGTTCAATTCAACGCCTTAAAGTTCTCCCGTCCTCTAATATTAGAATGATTTGGTTTGCAATTTCACAAAGTCAACATCACGCTCAAGAAATCCCAACAATGATCGTGAAGATGCATTTTTTTTTTATATGCAATTCCTTTTTGTAATAACGACGATAACGACGATAACAAAATGCATTGTCTTAGCGAGATAAAGCTTTGATTTTGTATTTTATTACAAATGCATGATTTTGTGAACTGAACCTGTTGATTCAACGTTCTATCTTGCTGGAGACCGATCATTCACAACTCACGTCACGAATCACCCCACTCCAAATCAACATGCTACAATGATCTCCTTGGAACCATAACGAAGGAAAGAAAATTTAGGAAAAAATCGAAGACAAAAAAAAAAAAAAAAAAAAAATTATATAAATGAGAGAGTGAAAGATACAACCGACAACTACACGATGTCGATATCTTCAACATCATTTATTGAAAATTATTTACGTTAATACGTAGTAATTTTTGTTCAAATATACCAAAATCAATATTCAAGTATAACACATCCTACCATACCGTTCTCTTGCGTTTAAGCAAGGTCGTTCAAAAGGTAAAAAATAATCTTGCCCTTTCCGTTCATTGGTCATGAACAAGATATATATAATTATACTTTTTACTGTAATTTAAACAACTAAATTTTATTTAAAAAAGGAAGGAAAAAAAAAAAGATTGCTCTCAGAAAAAGGATTTGATATTTTTAGACCTTTTAATGTTGTATGGTGTAGGGATTCCGGTAAGATACGTATTTTGGACCTATAAGATATGATCTACTGGTCCTACATCTCTCAACAGAGAGAGTACACATTAGACCTGTTTTTTTCGATAGCTAGATTTTCCTTTACATCCTTCTCTAATTATAATTCAAAAGTTGAATATTATGATTTTTTTTTTCAAAAAAAAAAAAAAATAGGTTCTTGTAGCATTTCATTTTAGTTTAAATATTTCAAATACCCAGCCATTTGTCGTAACTTCGACTTGGTTAAAAAAAAAAAAAAATTAAGTTAAATATAATGATTTTTTTTTTTTCAAAAAAAAAAAAATAATGTAATTAATAAATTTCTCTGCGAATCTGCTGCTGTTGGGGGGGGGGGTAGATCATTTTGATCTGCCCCCGTCTTTTAAAAAATAAAAGTTACACTTACCATGAATATACGAATAATTTTTCATGTATTAGTAAATAAAAATTTATATAGTATAATCTTACACTAATAATTCTAGATTGATAATATCCACTTATTTCGTTATAATTTCTTCTGATAATGATTTCGTTTGGTATACATTTTCCAAAAAACACTAGATTATGCTATCGGAATAATTATAATTACTAATTTTAAATTATAAGGAGAAACGGCTAAATAATGTACTAAATAACTTTAGGTCAAGGATTTACTTTATACAAAGGCGTTCCTTCAGACCTTTGATAAATCGGAATGGTCTACTTTTTTCAGACTTTTCTTAAAATAAATTCTTACGCTCTTCAGTTTTATTATATCTTTCGGGTAGGATCGTCTAATTTTTTTTTTTTGCTTTAGTTACGAGCACGTGACCTCCGTTTATTCTCTAGACAAATATTACCTGTGCCTCTTTTTTCGTTTACAACATTTGATCCTTCAAAAATTTTGACTCAAATTTAAAATTCTAACTTTCCTAACCGATAAATAAAAATTAATTAAAAATTCATTTATACAATGAAACTCGAATTAAAGAATCATATATTTAAAGAAAACACGTTAATCTCTCTCTCTTTTTTTTATATTGAGTTTGGAAGGAATTGATATTAAAGTTTATCGCGTTAATCGACTTTTCTACAAACATATACGCTACATTCAAGGTTAATATCCAAGAAAATGATAAGAGTCTATTAAACAATTTTTCGGTGAATTCATTAATTAGGACATGTCAGAATACTGGGATGACGATGTAATAAAAGTTGCAAAACGGAATGATTGAAAGTTTGGATCAGAGTTATAAGACAACTTATGTTTACAACTCGTATATTTAGTATGTGGAATTGCAAAGAGATCTGACCTTGCATATGCGCGCAGGAATTTCTGTCATTGTAGAAACGTTATTTATAATATAAGCTATTACATCATAAAAATTTCTTCAATATCATGGTCATTTTCATTATTATATAACAATTCATTTTTATTTATCACATAAAATAATTGTAACTAATTGTACGACGACAATCATACAACTCATATGATAAGACCAAAAGAGCAAAAAGAAATACAGTAAATAAATAACTTACACATTCACTGCAGCTAGAGCATTGCGATGGAGGTAACTGCAAGAAGGAGAGTTCAGAAAGCGAGAAGCTGCCCAGCTCATGAACGCCGTTTAATTGTTGTTTTGTAAGGAAAGGTACATAGCCAGTTCCTTCTCCAGAAACAGCAGATTCTTACCAAATAAGCAACATCCATGAGTGGTTACCAACGACTCCCTTCCTGAAGCGCCTTCTTAAGTCTAGAACCTCCACGTTGAACTCCAGCCGCTATTATATATGAAAATAAAATAATAATACAAATAATACAAATAAAAATACAGTTACAGAAATAAAATATACCTTTATACTGTACTGTTACATGTCATCCCGGCCCACTTCTTCCTGGTTAAATGATAATATTAAGTGAGTGGTATATATATAGGTTCAGCAAGAAAAAATCAATGAACTGATATTATATACCTTTATAAAACAATATAAAAAATAATCTATAGAAAATCTATATAATCTAATAAAAATAAAGAAAGAACATTAAGCGTTAATAGGGTTCGTCACAAACACATTTTTTTTTATTTTTTGACTTGTCATATGAGTTGTAGTTTGTCGTGAGAAGAAGTGGAAGAAACTTGAAATCCTTTGGAACGCGTAATAAATCATATCAACAAAATCACGTGAATTTACTAAAATTCTAAGTCGCCCGGAAAAATGATAGCCGGATTTATTTGCCGGGTCACATATAGGAGCGACATATGATGAAATTACTCCGGAAGAGAATAAAACCGTAAATGAGTTTTTTAAAAAAACTTAAGTACCCCTAATTCTAATCCTAATACTAAATACTGGCAAAAAAATCTGGCTTTCATTTTTTTTATACGACGTTATAATACATTTATTTTTCGAAATTGATCAAAGAATTCATTCTTTTAAAATATTACTTTAGCCCGTTTCTAAATATTGACTAAATAAAATTAATAAACTCTTGAATCAGAACTTTTATTTTAGTAAATTTAAATATTTAGACACAGACTAAGTCCAATACAGGATCTGATCAGACCTAAGCTCAGGAACGAAACTCTAATTTCCTTGGTCATGGTGATATAATACTTTAATTCGATTTTTTTTATTACTTCGTTAATTATTTTAATTTGTTTTTTAGGTCTTCCTTATCGGCTTGGGAAGTTGTCACATAACCTTCTTGAAATAAGATGACAAAATTTTGACCGATAAAAATTATTTTTAAACCAAGTTACACATTTCGCCATTTATTTCTAGGCTCATAAATTTACAAGAAATTTTATTGTAAATTTACATATATCGACCTTTCACAATTGCAAATTTGACTTTACTGGGAATTTATAAACTGACATGGAAATTATCGAAATAATTCTTAAAAAGTTGGATGATATTAAATTTGAAATGTATTTTTTATGTATAATTCTTTAAAATACGTTACATTAATTTTATTCGGATTATATAAATAAAAAAATTTTATGCTATAATCATAACTTACAATTTGAAAACAATAGTAATATAAACGAAAAAATTATTTAATTTAAGAGATGTGTAACTAGTATTAGATTCTTTGACGTTAGTTTCACGAGTATAATTTAAAATTTTTTATGGAAAAAGAAAAATTGAGAAGAATTAAACAAAAAGAAAAGGGTCCTCTTAAATTTATTAAATAAGATAAGATTTATTGTTCTATGTAGCAAAAAAAAATTATCTGCTCGTATATGATGATTAGTGTTTACAACCCTTAACTATCATAATAAATGATAAAATTTTCCAAGAAGGTTTCTTGTCTTACGAATTACTTGAGATGAATTTAAAATATTAATTTTGTATGTATTAAAGAATTTATTTGACGTTTTAAATTTGAAAGGTACTTCCAAAAATGCCTGGAATTTTATTTTAAATAATTTCATATTGGTTAAAGAATTCAAATAATTTAAAGTTATCTCTTGGCAAAGAACGATTACGAAATAATTTCGTTAAATTTATATGTTTCGCATTTAATGTAATCTCATATGCATATGTTATGCAGGGTACATCATTTCAAACATATTTTCCTCATTAATATACAGTAGAAAATGTTCTGCATTAACACAATAATGTATAAATCCTTTCATTTTCGTATTATATGCATTATAAATAAAAATTAGTCATGTCAGAATTGATTTACTATGTGCAAAAAATAACGCATGATTGATTAGATTTAGATTCTACACGTAAAATATCAGTCTGTAATTTGTGTAACACTGTTTACCATTTTTCAGGTTCGAATGAAAGATTTTATTTTTATAATACATACATATGATGAAAAATGAGTACGTCGGCGAGCTTACGAACAATAGTATGTAATGAAAGCGTTTAGTGACAACGCAATTTTATAATATTTTCCAAAATTCCAGCACTTTTCAAGCTTTTCAGCTACATGTTACTTGAATAGTCCGTTAAAACTCTTTTTTATTTCTAGTAAAAATAATTAATAGATTTCTTATATTTTAATGCTGCATGATATTATTCATTAGAATTTCGTTATACGACATTTCAGTGAACTAAAATCACTAAAATTACAATTAAAAGTTGAAAACATGAATTTTAATAATTATGTAGTACAACAAAAAGTTAAAAATTTTTTGTTAATGACGCCATAATTTTGTGGTTGCATAAATTAAATTCTCACGAAAAAACGATATTAAATTTATACTTTCCAGATTTTATTTCTATATTATCTTTATTCCATCATGTGTTCGACTTTACAAAACAATATAATAATAAGATTTAACTTTGAATTTCTAATATGTTGTGCTACAAATTGCATTATATTTATTTATTTTTTTTATCAAAATACATATTGATTGTTATAATACTTTCTAATAAGTATTAAAAGAATTTACTTTCATATATATATAAAGAATTATCTCATTTCACTCTTGGTCTATAATTTCATCTGTTATTTGTGCGATTGGTGGTGTAGAAAGCTCTCTTGAAATTTCTGAAAGTTCTCAGTTAAAATGTTGATTAGGATTTACATTATTTTCGCCACTGGGAATGCTTGAAACTGGATTATGATTCTTAATTCCATAATTTTCTCTAGGAGATTTTAAATTAGATGGATGTTGATGTGAAGGCTCTTCAATGATAGGAAGATATCCCTCCTGGATTATAGTATCCATTTGATTGGAAGTTGTTACATCATCTTCATCAGCAGGGATGAGATCAATTAGATTAATACCAAAATCATCAACTTCTGTCTTAATGTATAATTCTACCGATTTTGACTGACATGTAACAATATTTTTTCCCGGATGGTATGCAAACACATTCTTTTCCAATACTTCATTAGCTTCCTCAACATTATCAAAAAATTGTTTATATTTCTTACATTCAAGCTCTTTGGTTGTCAATAAAGAATTGATAATTTTGCACGCTACTTTATGATATTTTTGTCTTGGGTAGATTCTTGCACTTTCAAGTTTCTTCTCGGTAATACTTAAGATTGCCTGTTTAATAACTACAGGAAAGAGTATGCAATTTATCCAAAACAAATTGCATAAACATAAACTAATTCTTACCTTTAAATGCATGTCCAGCTAGAAATTCGTTAGCAACAAACTTTAGATCAATAATAAGACCACCAACTAAACCATATAAACTATTTGCTGCTGCTTCTTTGATTTTGCGCTTGTTGACTAGATATTCTATCGACTCTTCCTTAGTAAGATCGTCAATTTCAATCGGTCGATTAGATGCTCGTGAGTAGGAAGAATTATCTAAATAGGAATTGCACAATAGGTCACAATATTTCTTAGAGAGAAAAAAATAATGCCTATACTTACTTTCCATTATTTTTGGAACCGAGCCGACACTGCTGACAAACACTGCAATGTATGTTCGACTATCAACATTATCTTTGGCAATATTTTGAAGGATACGAATTGTTTCTGGATCTAATCGGCTAACGTTATCATACACAATAATCATAGGTCTATCATATTTGACTTTATATATTTCAGCAGCATGTTGAAAAGCATTCAAGGTCCTCACCCACTTCGGAACGTCAGATTCGTCTATCAAGAAAGAAATTAGAGTCAATTGGATTTATAAAAATGCAGTGTCAGTATAAACCCACTATCAGTACTGCACAATTTTCGTTTAAATTGATTATTAAATGAGACATCCTCCTCAAATGCAAAGTTGATAGCTTTCCCAAATGCTTCGTCAAAATTATTAACAACAGGAGGGACGTCGACGTATACGACGCCACGACCAACTTCTCTTGATGCAAGTCTGTCAGTATAGTTTTCCCAGTTTCAAGTTCACCACAAACTGTATAATAACGCGACTGATTTTTGACTAGTTGGAAAATAGCTTTGAGGTGGTTACAATTATAGGTCGAGGGAAAAGTTCATCATCCGAAACGTTTATTTCAGGTCGAGTGCCTTCTTCTACAGTTTTGATTAGACTTCTATCAATGCGCCTATTTCGACAACAAGCGAGATAGAGATCTCCTATGCAAAAATAACCAAGTATACCCAGTAAAATTGAAATACCGCCTAACACAAAGGTAGCCTACAAATAGTGGGAAGGTGATTAGAAATTCCAGAAATAGTCGAATACAACAAATATACTCGTACTAAATAGTAGAAGGGGAAGTAAACTCTTCGGAAGCGTGGGAGGATGAAAAGATTGTGATTGGTTTCGAAAAGAAATAAAAATAAAAAATATGATTTAGCGTCAAAAATACAAATATAAATAAAAATATATTTTTTTTGCATTGTACTCGACGCCTAACGAAGTTGGAGACCTGAATGATTCTGTAGGGAGACATTGGTAAGGTATTTAGTAATGGTCAAATTATCGATTGAAGAGGAATGTGAAAATTTATCATCGTCGATCGCAAAATTACTTCATGATCGACTAGGGAGACATCTGAGATGGATATTTTTTTTTCGCATTTGCAAGGAAGCTACTGTAATATCTATTTTTTTTTTATTAAGAAATTTCGAGGACCTATTCATAAAACTTTCGGTGAATTTTACTAAG